GTACTGGACGTTCCCCACTTAGTATCCTTCATGGTGACAATTCTCCAATTTCTCTGGCTTCTCATCAGGTAACAATATGTGGGGAGAGGTTGTTATGCCCCTAACCCAAATCTCTGCTTTGTTTACAGTGCAGTTTTAGCTAGTTACCATTTTTTTCCTGAAAAACAAGACGTTTGGAAAAATGGTAGACTCAAATCCAATATAAGCAGGATGGGGTGCTTAGTAATTTTTTGCCCTGTTTTTCTCTTTGCTTTATTGCTAGCACCTTTTAGGGCAGGGGTGTCAAACTGTCGGCCCGCGGGCTGGTTGCATCATACAGAAGCCGCGCCCACACCGGCAATGGCAAAAAAAGTTGCAATATGTCGCGACATGTCACGTGATGCGGCGAGTTTGACATCCATGTTTTAGAGAATTACTTTCAACACTGTTTTCTTCAGGTGTGAACAAACTTCACATCAAGAGCTACACTGAGATTTATAGAATATTAAAGCAACAGCAGGCAAGATAGTAGACTTGCTCAGAATAAATTAGGGTGTTTGTTTTTTTTCATTTAGCGTTAATTTATCTCCTAGCTTTGTAAGAAATTTACTAGCCTTTCGAACTTACCTTATCTTCTCTTTAAAACAAATGGCAATTAATGAAAATATTATTCCATTCATAAATTTCTTGAACGATGTAATACTTTGTCAGAGTGAAATTCTTTACTTTTTGCAATCTTCACATGTTTTAAACAAAAGTAAGCCACATCTTAAGCATGCACTAAAATCTCACATGTCAATAAACATGTCATTTGTTGATAAAAGATGTATATGTACATGTTTTTATACCTGCATTATTGATTTGTAGCCTGAGAGGCATTTATGTTGCAGTGCTGTAATTTAAAATTTGGAATACCTCTTCCAATGGGTGGCTGCCCAAAACTGAGTTTCATGCATTCGGTGAAGCCAACCCGTGATTTTTCTCTCTGCATTGTGCAAATGCAGGAAACTTTGAGTAAATCAAGTTAATCACACTGTGTGAATACAACGTGTAAATCTGGCTGCCCTCAGATAGAGCAGTCAATTATGTTAGCATTTCTTCAACCCAACAAGATACTTTTTTTTCCCAGAGTAAAAGGAGTTCATCAGTGACAGATAATCAAAGAGAGCCAAAGGATGGAACCTTAAGCTCCGGATCAAACTTTCCAGCAGATATCTATGGTTGGGATCCCATGAATAAGGAGAATCGACAGTGTCCTTGGGTGGAAAATTAGTTTCAGATGCTCTGAGGATTACTGCCCTTTAGTATGAAGGTCTGATGGCTCACGTATGAAGACCATGAAGTAGCATGATTTTTTTCTTTGCTTCTTGCCCACTTTCTCTTGCTACTTTTCTCTGTCTTTGGTTTTAATATTTAGATTCCATAATGTATAGATTCTTCTGTGTAACTACTTTTTTTAAAAAAATGTCATCTGAAAAGTCTGTGTCTGCAAAATAAACCTCACTTTAGAATGAGATTGTGGTTCCGTGCTGCATTATTTTAAAACTTTCACCACAGCTGGAAAAGAACTACCCCTGGAGTACATCTGTTAGAGTGGGGCTAAAACTATTCTTTGCAGAAGCTAATATTGGACATGAAATTCAGACTTCAAAAACATGGCTGGCTGAAGAATTCTGGGAGTTGAAGTCCACAAGTCTTAAAGGTTGCCAAATTTGGAGAGCCCTGGTAGAAGAACAGTGTTGGGTGGGAGGAAATGTGGAAACTGCTAGCTGACGTGCCTCACTGACCAAAATGAGGATTTAGTGGACAAGTATCCTATTTGCCTTCAGTCTCTGGGTAGTAGAATAAATAGTACCCTTTTGTTACTTGGGATTATGGGAGCCAGAGCAATATGGAATATGCTCTGACTCCCATGATAGCAATACGCAGGACAATCATATATGCACGGCTTGTGTTTAAGTTGTAACATATAAATTAATGCAATACAAGCAGTCCTCAGCTTACTATCTGATTTAATGACAGTTCAAAGTTACGACACCCTCAGAAAAATTGACTTGCATCCAGTTCTCAAAGTTATAACCATTGCACCACCTCTGTGGTCACATAATTGCAATCTGGGCACTTGGCTCTCATTTATGAAGTTTATAGCATCTTGCAGTCGGTGATCACAGTTTGCAGCCTTCCCCAGCCAGCTTCTGACATGCAAAGTCAATTGGGGAAGCCATGTTCACTTAATGATGCATTGATTCACTTAACAACCCTGGTAAAAACGGTTGTAGTATCAGTCTGGTCACGTGATTTGCTTAGCAATTACATTGCTTAATGACTGAAAGTCCAGTCCCAACTGTGGTCATAAGTTGAGGACTACCTGTATGATGAAGCAAAGACAGGACATATATCTTTCAAGTATCCTAAAGAAATAAATGTATTTTTTAATGCTTCCCTTAACCTTTTCCAAATGAAAGCCTAGATCAGTGATGGCGAACCTTTTAGAGACTGAGTGCCCTTAGACTAAGGGATATGCTTTGTTTCTCTTCATATCTTCGGCTGCATGGAGTTACAAATATTGCACAGTGTGTGGGGTGAATATTAGGAGACTGTTATGCCCTTTCTGTCTTTTCATAGGGTATCCTCCCACAAACTTGTGAATGGGGGACAATGATCAAAATAAGTCAAATATATTTTAATTCAATATTCTAAGAATGATTGTTTTATAGTTTTATATTGTATGATTTTATATATTGTTTTATTTGATTGTTCTAAGCCTTCCAGAGTTGCTCCTGGTGAGATGGGAGGACCTATACATTTGATAAATAATTAAAACGGAATGTTTTTAGAAGTCGTTCATAAAGCTTTTGATTAATGCTTAAGAGAACCAGGAAACAGTTCTTCAATTATTACATAAAGGCACCAAAAAAAATTGGTGACTTTAGGCAAATCATTATCACTTTCTTAGCCCATTGCAAAAGCAGTGATAATTGATCTGTCTTGCAATATTGGTTTTGACTGAGATCATGCAAACAGGAATAAATTTATGAATTAGGGAAGCATATCTTAGAGTAACGTATAAACAGTTTTGACATAGAATAAAAATTAAAAATTCTACTCAAAATCAAGCTTAATTTAGTAACTTTAGAGACATACATAAATGGATGTCTACAAAATACAAAAATATTTTCCTGGCAAAATATATGGATATGGATTTTTGTTTCAATTTCTCGATTTAGATGGTGTTGAATGACTTACTGGAGTCATTAAGATTACTAATGTGAAAACGTATTTGCTGATTTGGTGGTGATTGATGATTCCTTGATGAAGAGAAATAGGGTAGGATTTGTGAGATTTTCACATACATTAGGCCATAGTTTACTTTAAATCAAACTATGATTTACAGAACACAACTACTGGGTTAACACAAACTAAAACGGTAATAGTAACACCCAGATTGGAAATGTGCTGGTGGGAATCTATAAATGGAGACCATAAATTAAATGTTTTTTTTTTAAAGAATAGCCAAACTCTTACAAATTTATCAATTATGAGACTTCAATGTTTTTCATCTTATCAGGTGTGAGTATCAAATAAAATTTGGCCATATTTTAAAAAATGAATAGTTTTGCTTGTGTTACTGTTACTGTGAAAGATTGCTTGGAAATGTTGATGATCCTGTCGTAGAGTGTTCTATGACTCCTATTGGTTTCAGAATATAATAATCAAAGGTTGTTCTGTTCCAAAGGAAACTAAACTTGTTTCTCAAAAATGTCTTACTACCCAGAGAAAAGCACGTTCATTAAGATATATCTTTATCTGCTCTTATAATTATCTAATCCTCTGTTTGAGATTCTCTAATGCCATGGTAATATATGAGGACTGTGAGAAGTAACAGGAAGAAAGCAGTGGTGGGATTCAAGTATGTGAACAACCGGTTCTCTGTGTGGATGCCGCTACCGGAAGTCCATTCTGGGCCGGGGCAACAAAAAATTAGTTACCGGTTCTGCCGAACTAATGCGAACTGATTGAATCCCACCACTGGAAGAAAGTTAGACATAAGAGCCAACAGATGTTAGGATTTTATAAACAGCAGTTTGAGCCAGGCTGCAAAAAGATGAGGAAGATTCAAAATGTTCAAAGAGATTCATCTCAAGAGATTTACTTATAAATGACAGCAGGAAGTTCCTATTGCAATTTCTAAGGTTCTGTATTTTATCCCTAATTACAATAAAGAGTTAATAATGCAATATAATACAGAGCTTAATTGTATAATTGTTCTGAATTCTGAACAATTCTGTTTAAACCTGAGCCCCAGAACATAGCCTCAAATAATGCAACTTTAGCCAGTCTATCCAATTATTTCAGCTTTATTGTGCCTGGGCTATAAAACAACTTTATAATAATTACATCATAAAGCACTGACTTGGAGGAGCCTAAAGGATGCCGGAATGCTAAGATATGTGCAAGATATGGAATTAACATAGATAATCAATAAGATTACATTAAGTATTCCTGGCTCCGGTGCTCAAAATAGGAGCAACAAACTCCTTCCCAGGCAATGAGTAGAGTAAAACAATGAGCTAAATATTTCTTCAAGAGAAAAGCGAATAAAATTCATTGCAGAATACTTGCTGTGATAAACCACTTGAAGATACGTCCAAGGACACACTATAATTGTCTGAGGTCTTTGTGGTAGTCATAACATGAAAATCAGAAGTTAAGGGACAGGAAATAAGGGATTCATTTAGAAGTTTCTTGAGGGTTTCTAATTTGGGGTACAGTGAGTAGGAATTGCTACCTTGCTGATGTCACACCTGGAGGCAGTCACAGAAATGGACCCCTGAGTTTGGGGAAGGTTTCAAAGAGTATCAGAAGAATTGACCTGTGTGGATTCTTTCCCTGAGCTTCTCCTTAGGGAGGTAAGTGTAGTATGTACCAATATCTGCATAGAACAAAAATGTCAATGGTGGTACTCAAAGGTAAATCTGAAAAAGCCTCGCCATATTCACTCTTCTTTTCACACAGCATCTTCAGTTCCAAACTTTCAGGAAACTGTCCCAAGAGCCAGTCGCTGCAGCCATGCCATCTGCAGTTACTCCCAAACAGCTCACCCTATTATCATGTCCAGACAGGAGGCCTGTAGGATTAAATAATAATGGTTCATAATCTACTACTATGATGATTAAGGTGGATAATTTAATGTTTAAAACACAATATTAAAATACCATAAGAACTGCAGCATTAATGAGACAAAAAGACAAGACCTTCAATTTTTGAGAGACAGTAGATTAGTTTGGAGGAAAATTATTTTGCCTAAACTCAGCAGATCTATGAGCAGAGTTCCAAATTTTGGGTAGCACAGGAGACCCTCACTTGCCATTCACCTCCCCTCTGATGGCCCAGTCATCCAGACGAAAGGCTTCATACCAAAAGGGGATGTATGAAGAGAGAGTCCATCTGCAGTGGTGTATAACTCATCTTCCATTTTTGATGGGTGAGAGAGGAACAATATGCAGCCTATATGCCAACACTATCCTCCAATAACCAATAGATGGGTAGAAATGAGCTGTGCTAGTCACAGCTTGAAGGCCAAAGAGTGATCAGGAAAAAGGAACACTTTCATGTTGGAATACTAGGAAACTGACATTTGATTTTGCTCAGTTTCTCATTCTTCTAATTTTAGATGATATTAGGTCGTATCCCCAAATGGGGATGCATTACTCCATGCACATTTTTCCATGAATGTAAAAAAAGTGAGAGAAAAACCCTCAGAACTGTAGCCGTGACTCACCCACACGCTCTGCTTTCAAACTATCCCAGATATTGCAATTAAAATCATCATATCCGGCCAGGAGGAGGCGCCCGCTGAGGGAGAAACCCACTGAAGTAATTCCACACACAATGGACTCGTGAGCAAAGTTGATGAGCTCTTGGTCTGCCCGAAGATCAAAGAGGCGACAGGAGGCATCATCAGAACCAGTGCAGATGGCTTCCCCACTGGGGAAGAACTAGAGAGGGCAGGGGGGAGGGAGGGAGAGAGAGACACAGAGAGAATTTGCTTCTGTTGTCTTGTGCAGGTTATTTCTCCCCTAATCTTTATCATTGTTTCAGGGTCCAGCTCACTTCCACCCTCAGTTCCAGGAAGGGCTTAGAAACTTACTGAAATTGCATTGATATCTGATTCATGTCCTGTAAATGTCTGACGGCAAGCTCCTTCTCGGATGTCCCACAGTTTGGCACTGGCATCACAGGCTCCTGAAATGAAAAGCTTGAAGTCCGGAGAGACAGCCAGGCTCATGCAGTCCCCAGTGTGTCCTATGAATGTGGTCTTCGCCTGCCCTGTCTCAATATCCCACAGCATGCTGTAAGGAGAAGAAGTTGCTTAGGCTGCAGTGAGTTGCTATTTTGATAATCTTCCCATATGATACAGGCTTGAAATACTTACAGATCTGTATTCAAAAGTAATCTAACAATAAAATTGCTATAAACTCAGGGGAATAATACAGAAAATAGAATATTCCTTCCCTCTCTCCTTCCTTCCTTCCTTCCTTCCTTCCTTCCTTCCTTCCTTCCTTCCTTCCTTCCTTCCCTCCTTCCTCACTTCTTTCCTTCTTTCCTTCTTCTTTCCTCCCTCCCTCCCTCCCTCCCTCCCTCCTTCCCTCCCTCCTTCCTTCCTTCCTTCCTTCCTTCCTTCCTTCCTTCCTTCCTTCCCTGACTTTATTATTTTTACAAATAATTCAAGACAGCAAACATAGCCAAAAAATCTTTCTCCTATTTTTCTCATATTTAAATATGTGCTTATGAACAGCCTCCTAGTTGCAAAAATGTCCTCTCGTTATGCAGTTTGGTCATATTGATTTAAAGTTAAATTCAGCCAAGGATATCTTAATCACTTCTTCCCTATTGGAAGAGCAACCAGAACTGACCTCTTGGACCCCACAGACAGTGCCAAATGGGAGTGAGTGACTGAGAGGCAGAATAACTCAACAGATTATGGAAGCTAGCAGAGCTAAACATTTTTCATCAATTTTTCCTGTTCATGCAGCAAAATACAGCAGACCTTTTTCTTTACTGATGGGGCCTAGGTTGGGTGTCTATGCTTGGCAGAACCTTCTAGGGGATGTTTGTGGTCAGAGCTTGATGAAAACAGTTATTCCCATTGATCCCTTAGGAGCAAATAGAGATGACATCATGCAATGAGCATGCAAATGACACTTAAAAAAAAGAAAGCAGCAGCTAGAATTCCCTTAAAAAGAAGAATATGGGTGAGGCAAGGAAATGCCACCAGCAGAGTCTTAACGTTTTGGAACAAACATTGATATTTGGTCCGCCCTTAGCTTCTCTAACCCAAACTGGCCAAACTTTGCCCTCTGTCTGGAGTTCGATCCTGATAGGGCTCAAGGTTTATTCAACCTTCCATTCCAAGGTCAGTAAAATGAGGACCCAAACTGTTGAGGGCAAAAGTGCTGTAAAGCACTGTGGGGCAGTATATAAGTCTAAATGCTATTGCTATTGCTAAATACCATTTCCCTGAAAGTAAGACCTACCCCGAAAATAAACCTTAGCTTGATTTTTTGGGGTGGGCCTAATATAAGCCCTACCCCAAAAATGCGCCCTAGTTTTGGGGTGAGGTGATGCCTAAAAATCAAGCTAGGGTGGGGTGGAGCTTACCATTACAGCCAGGCCTCCCATGGATTGACACTTGCCTCGCCGGCCAACTTCTTCTGCGGCTGAAGGAGCAGCTTCATTCTGCAGCTGAGAATGGAGCTCGGGCCTGCATTTCGCCATCAGAGGCCTTTCTGGAAGGCCTCTGAAGCCAAGAACCGAGCTATAGATTCAATCTGTAGCTCGGTTCTTGGCTGCAGAATGAAGCTGCTCCTTCAGCTGCAGAGGAAGTGGTCCAGCTGGGCAAGGCTGTTGGTGCCAGAGGTGAGTGGAAAAGACACTCCCCCCCCCCCCGAAAATAAGACACAGTGCCTCTTTTAGAGGCAAATAATAATAATAAAAAAAATAAGACTGGGTCTTATTTTCGGGGAAACATGGTACTAAGGGTACCCATATGGTTACTTGCTGGCCATTTCATTCATCATAGATAGAAATACTCACCAAGTGGTGTCCCCAGAACTAGTTACAATATTATTGTCATCCAGGAATCGGCAGCAAGAAAGGTAGCCTGTAGAGCAGGAGTAAGAGAAGAGGAATATTGTTGAAGGGAAGAAAGATACTTATAGAGGTCTCTTTCTTACAGAGGAAACAGACTTATACAGGACACATTTTATTATCTTTTCCAGAAATATTTTGTTTTTTTGTCAATAGAAGCTGGGTTTTGCAGCACATAGTCATTATGAGGCTCAAAAAATGAGAATTTTTTATTCTACAAAATTCTATTTGTATTTAAATAATTATCTTTTAGCCTGCTTCTGCTGGTCACATGGAACTATCAGACATCCTATCCAGCAGTCTCTGGCTTCTGAGATGTTAATCCAGATGTTAGTCAATATCCATAAGTTTGCAACCAACTTTCCACTATTGGAGCAACACTGTGTAAATCCTCAAATTCTTTTTTATTCCTACAAAAATATGTTTGTTTAAAATAGAAGCTACAGACTTTCTCATCCATTCCTGTTGCAATATTATATTTTGGTTTGCTTTTTTTTTCATGGACTGTAGCTATAGCTTTACCAAGACCTAGTCTTAGAACAAACAATTACCTGCGTGAGCTGAGAGCTCCCTGTTCACTTTCACACTTCCTTCACGACTTTTGAGGTTATAGATGGAGCACATATTGTCAAGACCTCCACAGGCCACAAAATTCCCTGATGGAGCATAGGCACAGGTCATGACCCAAGAAGACCGGAGAGGGATGGCATGAACCTGTAATTAAAGAGTAGGGCAGAAATCCACCTTTAGTTTTTTGGTCAGAAGTGAGAAAAGCAACAGCTATAGTAGCAGAGGCTTCATTACTAGAAAGTAAACTCAAAGGCAAAATGCTAGCAGCCACTTTTCATTCCTATCATTGTTTGCTAACAGATTGTGGACATAGCATCTATTTGCTTATGTATCTCCTACCTTGTTGGTTGTATAAGTATCCCATACAATGAGTTTTCCATCTTGTGAAGCACTGACCAAAAGTCTATAAGAGAAGAAAGGTGTTATCATGCATGCTCAATTGGGATCTGAAGGTTAAATTCACCAGGTCCACCTTTTCACCCCCAACTTCTCATACAATGCACTTTCAAGGTGATTTTGTTCTCCATCTTATAGTAAAGTATTCATAGCCAAGGGATGGGAAGGTAGAAGTGTATATGGGGGAATTACATGTATGGTTCAGAATGCAGAATTATTCATTTTGCTGCTACTCCTATTGTATCATAACCATTTTACATTTACAGTATAGTCTTTATGAAATGTACCATGTATATTTTATAAAGACTTGTAAAGAAACTTATTATAGAGTTGTTGGTGCTTTTTAAGCTCAGTTGTTTGTTTGCAAATGTTTCATTACCCAACGAAGTAACATCATATTAGTTTGATAATGTAATGTCTGCTAGCACACAACCAAGCTCTGAGAGCACCAAGTACTCCATAGTTCAACCCTGAGCTGTACATATTCTCTTCTATTAGAAACTTACTTGATGATCTTAGGCTCGGCATTATCTCTCATTCTAATAAATATTTCCAGGTTGTTGAATGATTCAAACGATGGAAAAGCACAGCAGAGAGGAGGGTTGATCTCTTTGGAATGAATTCTTTGGTGGTTCCATAGGCATATGGACTTGGTAGTGAGTGGCATAATTGTGGGAGAGGGAAGGGATCTTCCAGCCCAGGTAGTCATATGCAATTATTGTCATGATTACTGACCAGTTCATAAAGTTGCCAAGGTTGAGAAACACTGGTATATAAGAACAAGACAGGTGATATTTTTCCTTGCTATCTTATTCCATTGAGTCCCTTCCAAGTGACCCAGCCCAGCTACTCAAACAAATTAGCTGACCAAAGACTCTTATTATCTGTGATATTCAGAGAAGGAGAGAATTGCTGCCTGCCAATTCACACAGGCTTATTTCTTGTTCTCTTTCCTTTTTGTTCTCCCTCCCATATTCCTCAAACAAGACTAATTAAGGATCACTGGAAGAAAGAAGTTTTAACTATAGTCCTTACATGGACATTGATATGGTCAAGATTACTGTTTTTCTATTGCAAAACAGTGATCTTGATAAAAGGAGGAGGATTTCCGGTGACGTCGCTGACTGTAGACCCTGGGGAACGACTCTCCGTTCCCCGGGTCTGAAATTCCTTTGCTGGCAGGCCCGCTTGGGCTAAATGCTACCCTGGAGGGGTGGCCACCAAACGGCGAACCTTTGAGGAACGGGAGCCAGTGGTAGCCGGCTTGCCGAACCCAAAGCAGCCCCTGGAACCAGCAAAAGAAAGGTGGATCGCATTTATGCAAGCCGCCATTAACAGCTGATCGTCAGAGACAGAAAACAGCTGATTTGGAAAGCAAGCAGCCGGGCCGGGTGAGATTATGCCTCTTCTCTCTTTGTAAAGTGGACTTTACTGAAAAAAAATAGCCTGTCTTTAACCTGGAGCTGGAAACCTGAAGGGAGGAAGGAGGAGGGGTTTTGTTTTCCCCCCTCCCGTGTAAGCGGCGGTTTAAGTGACATTTACTAAGGAGAATTAATTTGGACTATTTTAAAACTTTTTAACTGGAGAAATCATTTCATTTTGGGAAGGAAAGGAAAGACATATTAAGTGGAAAAAGCCACCTTAACTGCTTTTTTCTGCTTTTTTTTCTTATTAGAACTTTAAAGAACTTTAAAACTGTGTTTCCACCCTTGAATACTTTTCCCCCCTCCTTATTCAAACGTCTGGAGAAAGAGACAGCGTTCCCTGGTGGCCACATTGTAACTTTTTTTCTCTTTGTTCTCTAGCACAGGGGTGTCCAAACTTTTTTCAAAGAGGGCCAGATTGGATGAAGTGAACGTGCTGGAGGGCCGAACATTTTTCCGAACATTCTTTGAACCATTACAATTAAATGCAAATGAATTATTTTATGCCTCTTTCCTCTCCCTCTCTTTCCTCTTTCTCTCTCTCTCTCTC